ATAAAGAAACTACAAATTTTACTTAATATATATAAGTCACAAAACAGTTTGCTTAGCAGAGTCAAATTTTCTTAAGTCATAATGAGAGTTTGCTTAGCAGAGTTGAAAATAGTTTGCTTATTGATCATAGTAAATTTTGAATTTTCATCTGACCTATACATAGATTGTTCAGGATTCTGTATAAATATTACGCTGGGATTTGTGAACTGATAGAGGAATGGTGATAGTCTTTCTGTTACATGTGGCCTTAAATTCTCCTTTTATTAAAGGCTTCCATCCAGTACGATATTACCATTGAATACTAAGAATTACTAAAGATTTAGCATTTTCATTATGATCCTTTTCTGCAGACACAACAGAAAATTCATTCATGATAGTAGCTGTATTTTCTCCTGAACTAATTCTTATGAAAATATTATCCATAGTACCGATAGATATTGATTGACTTGCAACTCCATTAAGCCTATGAATTTTTTCCTATTAATTTTAATACCTAAAAGCTCTTCAAATATTATCTGAAAATATGAAAGAATCTGAACCTATATCAATCATTGCATATGGTATTACCAAACCTCCTATTTTATAATAAATAGTCGTAACATTGTCAGCATCCTTTATTTATAAAAAATTTATTTCTAAAGGCTTGGGCCAATATATTTAACTATTTTTTCAACTGAATAGCATTGCGCATATGCTTTAATAGCATAAATCAAAGTATGCCCGCTTTCTGAATGGTTATTATCTGGTAATATTTTTATTTTCATAATATTATTTGTCATTTTTTCAGCTTGATATGGTTCCTTAAGGACCTGCTCTTCCTAAACAGTCTGAAAAGAAGACAAAACTTGTAAAAAAGGCTTCTGCTTAATATTTACTACTTATAATAGCAGAAGCAAGACCTTTTGTACTTTTTTTGTAACATTCTCCTATGCTAATTCTCTTCTTTTAACTGTATCATCTGGCATAGCAGTATTCAAGCAATGGTCTTTTAATTTGAGGTATATTGTATTAATAAATTTTGAAATTTCTATAAGAATCTTTTTAGGACAATAGGAGACTACTAATGATATTATAGATTTTAAGACTATTTGATACATTTGATCCGTAACCATGCGAAGTGCCTAGTTCGAAGAATCCTTTTGATCACGGCTAATTATATTACTCGATACTTTGATATTTTCAGCACGAGATTTAGAAGTAGAGAATTCCTTCTTGTACCACTTTTTTTTACAGCATAACAGTTTAGGTCAGTAATGTTTAAAGCAGATCCATCATCATCAATACATTCATCACCCTTCTCAACTTCCTCCTTAACTATGTATTCTATTTTAAGCTTTTCAACTTTCTTCTTAAATATGTATTCTATTTCAGATTCTTCGGAGTCATCAGGGGCCCTCTTAGGATGAGATCTTTCTCAACATTTTGGTATATATAATTAACCTTTTTAGTACTCTTAACTTCAGGACAATTAATCTTTATATGACCAGCCTTTCTACAAACTGAGCAAAGATGAACAATTCGTTTAACTGGTATTTTTTGTACTACTTGTTTAATAGCTTTCTTTGTAGTATTTGTATTTCTAACCTCTAATTCTGAGAAGGGACTCCTTTTAACATTAGTTACTTTTCACCCTAACCTTTTACCAAGTTTATCATAAATATGTGGTCCAAAGACTAAGAGATCTGTTGTTATACCTAAATAATTCAAATCCTTTGCTAGACGAACTATAAATTCATGTTCAACTTGTGATTCTTTTTGTATAGATGAATATGATAGAGTTTCTTCACTGAAGGAGGAAACACCTACATGTCTATCAGTTTCTAACCATTTATTATTAAGTTGGGTAAAAAAGGTATTAAGATCTGCTGGATTTCCAATTTTAATCTGTAATTCCAAATTTTCAGATAAATGGCTATAAAGAATAAGTAAAGCATCTGTAAATAATAAAGCATTTACACGTATTCTAATCCATTTTTCATATGTTTCTGGAGTATCAATAAAAAGAAATTTATCGAAAATAAGCACTTTTATAAAAGCCTGTACTGAACCTAGTTTTATCGTATGATATGTTTCTCAAAGCCATACTATAAATAATGCTAGAGTATTAACTGCATTTCCTGCATTATTATTAAATAGATTAAGAGGAGTAAACTTTCCTGACATCTTTCCTGCTAATACATTAGTTTTCATAGCATCATTAAAGACTGCCACTCCTAATGAATCACCATAATTAATTGCCTGCATAACCTTATTATAATAGTCATCTGGTAGCTCTTGACTAGTATATTGCGGTATTTAAGTTAAAAGTGAGACTATTGCATTTAAAACTTCTGGTAAAATAGCCATATTTCCAAGTGAATTGTTTTGTAAATTCAAAATAATTTGCTGTGAATTTATTTATTTTTGCTTCCATTTTTCATATAAATCATATACTCAATCCTGATTATATTCTAATAATCCTATATCTGCTTGAGCTTATCTATAATACTTTTTAAGTTTTACATCTGCTGTATACAAGCAGTATGTCTTCTTTTCCACCAACATTTTTCATAAATATTTTCATATACCATATCTCTAAGATTAATGATTTCTTCATCTTCTTGTTGTCGGGCTTGTCTTTTATCCCTTCATGTCTGCTCCATCATCTGTACCCTTTGAAGACAATCATTCTAAAATTTATCATATCATTCATAATCCTATTGATCTGTCCATGGGATGCATTAAGCAAACCTTGTAAGTTAGCATTATTCTGAACATACCTTTCATTATACCCTTGAATAGTTGTTATTGAAATCCGTATTCCATTCAGTGTATTTTTTAGGTCAAATGATGTGTTGCCATTGATATATCCTTCAATCTGATCTAAAGCTGTACCAATATTTCTTAAGATATCTAGTAGTGCTATATTTTCTTAATGTTCTTTTTCAGAAGATTTATTACTGTTATTTTGAAAAAGTAATATCTTGAGAATTTAGTTTTTAAGCTTTTCTACTGTATCTTCTAACAGAATGATTCAATTATCTTGAGCAATTAATGCCTCCTCCTTTAGATCCAAATGATTCTGATATTTTTTGAGATTATGTAAAATAGAGCGGTATTCTACTTTTAATCTATCTATCTTATCCTTACGAGATATGAGATTTTTTTCAAGATAATAAATATATAGCTCACATCGCTCTAGATCGTTTGTAAGCTTACAAATCTTTTTCTTATTTTTAATGATAATAGTTTCCTCTTTAGTCAACTTTATCTGCAATTCTAAATTGCTGTCTAGCAAATTGAGATATACCTGCTCAGCTCCCATTGATTCCTATTATTCTAATAGATTCTGACGAGACTTGAAATGTGAATATGTCTTCAGCTTTACGCAAAATTTATTATTAGCCTATTGGCTACTCAAAAAGCTGGATATGATTTTACTATAAATCAAGTACATGATTGGCTCGAAAGACAAATATTATACCTATTACATAAATCTTATCCTAAATTTATCTCACAAGTAAGTTTTAATACTATTACTATGCCTAATAAAATTCACCAAGCAGATGTTCTCTATACGCAACATGTTAAATCCAGACAAACAATTTATCTTTTTTACCTAAATATAGTTGATATAACTTCAAGATATAAGTAACTATTCCTATTGGTGTAGCTCTTAAGGGTCCTGCCAAGAGCATTAAAAATATACAAGGCATTTTAACTTCAACTACAATTGCTAAATACTTAGAAAAAATTTACAATGATCTCAAAAACCCTTTTATTTGGCCAAAAGTATTTCTATCAGATAAGGGGTCTGAATTCAAAGACGAATGTGAAAAATTACTAAGAAAGCATAGCGTAAAAATTCAGAAGGCTAAGTCTAAGAAAACTATAAGTATTGTTAAAAGATTTAATAGAACTTTTTAAAAATGATTCTATAGTATTCTTGATGTGTATGACTTATTAGATTCCTATTCTAATATAATAGAATTAGAAGACCTATTTAGTGTTATTTGATTCAATAATAGAAGATCTTAATAATTCTGTAATTCGCTTACTTGATATTACTCTGGCTAAGGTGATAAAAAAGAAAAGAGTAATTGCTATGCCTTCTAAACCTTGAAATGAGCTTATGAAATATGATAAAGAGAGATTATCTTATAATGATTTTGTTATATACCTATTTGATCTGAGTGAGTATGAGGGAGGAAGAAGACGTGCAACTGATATGAATTGGTTTTCTAAGATTTATCAGATCCACAAATCTTTAATACAAAAAAATCAGCCTGTCTTATACTGGCTAATAGATGATAAGGGCAATAGCCCGGAAAGATCTTTTGTGAGAGAAGAACTTCAAATCATTTCTCCTGATGTGGAGTATCCACCACAATGGGTCTTATCAAATTGACGATAAGAAGTCTTCTGCTTCATTATCGATATCTTCTTTCTTAATGAAATAATCTTTAGCCAATTTATAATATAACTAATATAAATCTATGATGGTATTAAGAATCTCTAGATCTCTTTCATACCAAGATTTGTAATCATCTATAATTTGATGATATTTGCACTTATTAGAAAATATTGTTCAGGTTAATTCTACTACATATTGTTCAGGATCTTCTGACTGACGTAATTTCTTAACTCTTTTTTTATAGCTTTGCATGAATTTTCCATCCTTAGGCTTTCTATAGTCCTGCCTTTACTATATTTATTAATGCTTGCTCAACCTGCTGGGAGGTGGGTTTAACTTCGGGTAAAACTTCTTGAATAGCTTGATTTTGATTGCTCATTATATATATATATATATTTATTACTATATATTACTTATAAAATTGTTTTATTTAAATAAATAATTCTGTGTAAGAAAAAAAGATTTACATTATGTATGGTGAATATACTTGCCTATTTATCAACTATTTTGGTGAAATTTGTAAAAGATCTTGTATGCGTGAAGAAGGGTGTTCTATTCATTAGAAATATATTCGAAAGTTAGCTAATAAACAACTTACTCCTTGTAAGAAATGTGTTAGACTTAGAGTTCTGGAAAATTCAGAATCATGAATTGGATATATCATATCAATTTAAAACACCAGTTAAGCTTACTAGATCATATTTCAGTCTGTATCCTATTCATATAAAAGGATTTTACGTCTTCTAGTACTATCAGAGGTTACGGTCTAAGGCTCTAATAAATGGAAATTAGTCTATTAAAATTTTGGTACTCCCTCCAGAATTTTAATACTCCACTCAAAATTTTGGTATCTCAGAGGTTAGACTTATCAGAGATACAACTTTTTTTAACCCTGAGTTGTGTAAAGTAAATAGCTCCAGAATTGTTTCTTGTATATCATAAATTTATTGGTATGCTAGAATATGATCTAAAGCTTTTAGATTGACAAATAATGATACATAAATTTTGGTACCGTATTCGTAATTTTGATACTCTAATACTATTTTTTTTGTTTCAGAGTTTTTGAGGATGAATCATTTTTAGAATAGTTTTCTGTATATTAAAAAATTAATGATATACTAGAATATAGTCTAAAGTTTTTAGAAATGAATGTGAATACACATAAATTTCTGGTACTCACGCGAGGTGAGTACTAAAATTTAATCATGCTAGATGCTAATGAATCAGCTTTAGAATTAATTCTAGAATATCATAAATAATAGTATACATAGAAGGTTTACAGAGACTTCATAAGCTTAGCTTTGAACTTTCAGTTCTTACCAATCTTGACTCGTCTCAAATTCAAACAGAATGATATATTTTTTTTGATATATTATTTGGGATTAAAATTAGGCTAGAAAGGCTATAAGAGATGGATTTATTTTTGGTATCTGGTGGGTAAATTAATGCCAATTTGATACCAAATATTTGGATAGTAAGAAAAGCTTAAATTTGGACTAGAGTTTTAAATTCAATAAAGGATTCATATAGCTTGAAGGCTTTAAAAATATAATTGGGACTTTTTACAGATTCTTGATCCCAGAATTTCCATTTTCACCCTACTATCTTTCTCTAGTTCTAACTTTAAAAATAATGACTTAGATAATAATAATAAAGATCTCTTTGCAAATAATGCTAAGGATCAAGACAAATGAAATTTCTTCTAAATGATGAAAGGCCTCTAAACTGTCTTTAAAACTGTTAGATTTGGTAGATCATGAGAGGCTAAATTTGTAAACTTATCAACCTTTAAAGGAGGATATTAAGACTCTAAAGAATAGCTAGAAGATATAATCATGTAGGAGATGCAAATAGAATTTCTGATAAGCGACATCTTAAATTAGTTCCTTTTTTCCTGAAAGGATCAGCTCTTACTTAGTATTATAAAACTAAGAATGAAAAGGATTTACAATACTGAGATAATTTTTAATGATCGACAATATAAACATTGATCTTTCATCTACCACTTCTTGAAGCATTATTGTACAACTCACTGAAAGATACAATAGTGTTCTATATTTAGATGATGTAAATAACGCTTTAGATAATCTGTAGAAGACTACATCACTGATATTGAATCACTATACCTCAAACTTGATTCTGATTATAATATACCAGAGGATGAGAAAATCGAGCAATTTCTATAAGGACTATAACCAGAATTTTTAATTGCAGTAACTACTGCTGCACCTTATAATTTAGAGGAAGCTATTGACTGAACTCGAGCTATTGAAGTTGTTCTCTCTAAAGATAGTATTCTCTCAGGATATTCCCTCAGTAAAACCTACTTGAACCAATATGATGAAGAAACTGAACAGGAAAAAGCTTCTAACATGCAACAGCTAATTAAGGAAAACAATGAGAAATTGATAAAGGAATTTAAACAATTGTTGACTACTACTTCCACCAATCCACATGCTAATAATAGCCATCTTATATATAACAATAATAATTGGAGAAATAGTAACAATAGTATCAAATCTATTATAACTGTAATTGACCTAGACATATTGCTAAAAATTGTCAGATATGAAATAACTAAGATAGTAATAGAAGCAACTTCTAATAAAATAATAGGAGTAATACTTATCAGAATAAAAACAGATGTTTCACTTGCAAATGAAAAGGATACATAGTCAAAAACTGTAACACTTCACCTAATAAACCTTATTCATATTATCATCAGTTTAGATATTAAAGAAACTTATGTCTGACTAGATCAATGTCAAATTCTAATAATAGACAGCTATAATTCAGTCAAATAGGTCAACGAGCTGCATTATCTCAAGAAAGTTCTA